GAGCTCGCAGACGAAGAGCTCGCAGACGAAGAGCTCGCAGACGAAGAAGCACACATGCGCATAGCCACTGCTGACCCTGCTCTGCCTCCCCTTTTGTATATAAAATCTAACTGAATTAAATGTTAATGTTTTCGGAGTGTCGTCATCGTTGTATAATCCAACTTGAGCGCGAAACCATCCTCGTGGTTCTTGAGAGAGGGCAGCTGCAGGAGTTCATTCAGCCTGTTTGAATATCTGTGACTCATGTTTCTGGTGCTTTAGTTCTTAGAATGTTCTTAGTATTGATGTTAGTTCTTAGTTCTTTAGTATTAATGTTCTTCAACATTAATACTAAAACAGGTTCGAAGATTACAGCAAAGATGTGTGTCTTTTTAAGCTTTCACCACCACCCCCCGCTCCCACACCAAAAAAAACCCCAAAAACTCAGAGTTCTCTCTGTGAGTGTCAGATTCAGTTGTTTATAATCTGTCATTAATCTCTGTCAATAATTAAAGCAATAACAAAGTCTTGGCTGTTTGAATGTGCGACTCTTGCTCATATTTGGAACCATACTGAGAAGTTACTGTACTATGATGAAAGTAATTCAAGAAATGATCAAATATGAAAAGTAATCAGTATTAAATGACTACATGAGCTGAAACCCTGTAAATATAATCCTTTTGAATGAAATCATAATTTTAAGAGAGAAATCTGTCGGTTTTGTAAATATACTGACAGATGTACGCCTAATCTCTAGGTATGGAAAAATAAAATCAGTCAATAGAGTTTTAATGGCCACCCTAATAGTTTGTGTAAACTAAGCTGCCTAAAAGTATAGTGTCCTCAAATGATTGGGGTGGCCAAAGATTAATTGATTGTGGTCAAGGCCACCAATGACCCCCCTCCAGCTCCGTCATTGTGCCTGGTGGTGGATAAACTTGCTCCCTCCGCTCTCGAGGATGTGTCACTCTGCACCACCTGGGACAAATCAAAGAATCCTACCTCTGTTCTTGAATATCTTAATTACAACATTTAGGTTTACTTCATTCTCTGTTTGACTCCAGTCCAGAAAAAAAAAAACACTCATCTAGAAAACTACAAACATCTACTACTCAAATCCCTCAGCTACAGGGGACTTTGGTGTTCCACTGGTTTATAAATCTTAACAGCTTGTTGGTTGTGTGTGTGTGTGTGTGTGTGTGTGTGTGTGTGTTTGTGCGTGTGCAGGGAGCAGCGAGGGCTCTGAGCTCAGTGAAGAGATGTCTTGGCCTGCTTTTGAGAGGTAACGCATTCAAGTCCGCTTGAGATCACATCAACGTAAAATTTATGAAACATTTTCATTTCATTTTTATTTTCATATCTCTTTAATGAAGCTTCTGCCATTAAAATAAAAAAACGTCCCAGGCTCGGCATTGCTTTTCTCCATGATGCTAAGACTGGCACGTCTCATCCCTGCACAGCTGCACTCAGTAATTTGCTGTGATGTAAAGATGCTTTTGCTTCTCCAGCAGCATAATATGCTTTGTTTAAATCGAGCCACACACATCTGAACTACAGCGAGCCCTTGCGTTAACTACCCTAAAAAACATTAACCTTATTTCAAAATGTCATTTTTTTTAAGTGCTTCACTTTCATTAATATTTTTTCTAACCAAAGGATTGCCCCTCATCAAACCTAACCTGTGCAATTTGATTAAAAAAAAATCCAAGTGGAATAAATCACAAAGGTTAATAATGTCCCGTGCCACGTATCCTGTCCTGTCTTATCCTATTCCGAACAGGACTCGGTTCTATCACTCTCTGGGCCCAGTGACCCGTGTGGCCCGCATCTCGTACAGAGGAGTCCTGAGGCCCAGCAGGTACACCCATTCCTCAACTGGAACCAGCTTGATCTGAACCAAACTCTTTCTTCCCTTTACTTTTTCCACCCCCTCCCTGTCAGGAGCCGCTGCACTCCAACGCTCCGTGTGTGTAGTGAGGGGGTGCTTTAGTGTGAGTCGGTGGATCAGAGGAGAGGAACATGGTCACTTTGGGGTTTATGACTTTGTTTTTGCTTCATGCAGTTTATATTTTAACTGCTGCTCTTCACATTAACGTGTTGGGGGTTAAAACTAACACGTGGGGGTGTCATAACTCAACAAAACACTCGAGGCCTCAGTTTGAAAACTGAATGGTTGTAATATTAGAACACTTTAAATTAAAACCTGCCTGCTGCCTGTTACACTAAGATCTTCTTATAATGAGGAAAGATATTTGTCAGTTATTTCAAGTTCGTGAGAAATTTTACGGACGTTGAGGTTTTGATGCTAACATTTGATGCCAGCGTTTGAAGCTAAGCTGTTGCATCATCGTTCCTGACGCAGTGAGGAGCAGTTTTAGAGTCAGTAGTTCTCCTGTAGGTGGTGTTTTGCTTTCCTTGTGGTTCTGGGTTCTGTCTCTTAATCTCCATCAGGCTTCTCTAGACTTCTGCATTGAGCTTCCTGCTCTGATTCTCCGAACTGAAACAATCTGCACACCTCTTGATCCGTGTCTGCTCCTGTTTCTGCAGTTTTAAATGGATTCACTGTGAAATTCACGTCTGATAAAACACGACAGAACGATGTGTAGTTAAAAATGAACTCTGAACACAGCGGGGTTAAAGGTGGCGTTGCAGATTGTGTCTGTGTCTGGTCGGGTACTCTTGCGTGTATTTGAACGTGTTTATGTTCGCTTGAAACATTTGTGCTGTTTACAGCTCCGCCGAGTCAGAAGAACTTGCAGTTCATTTGTATCCCGGAGCGGTCACGGTGCAGGGGGTGTTGAGACGGAAGACCATGCTGAAAGAGGGCAAGAAGCCAACTGTAAGATCACACTTGAGCACCAAAACATGTCTTAAAATCATGACCCTGCGTGTTTCTACAAGCTTTTCACATTTGCATTTGATATAGAAAGACATGAGCAACAAAAGAGTTTGTGATGTAAAGTTTGGGCCTCAATGAGCCTAAAACTTTTAGAGCAGGGGTTCTCAAACTTTTGGGTTCAGGGACGCCCTCATAACCCTCAAGTTTCTTAAATAATTTTCTAAAATTTGTCTCTTTAATGTAATAAAAAATAATTGTGTAACATAAATACTTAAAAACTGTTCAATAACAGTGCTAATACAATTGTAATACTTTTAAACATGGAGTATTTTTCAATCAAGACACAAGACATTTTTTATTTCAACTTCCAAAAATTACAGTTTAGAGAAAATTACCAGTATCAAAAACCACTTTAAAACTTTACCTATTCACATAATGAACATGAATGTATTTCCACTTGTTCTGATTATTACAGAAAACTCTTCACATAAAACTGAACAGAATCAGAACAGCAGGAGTCATATCAAGTAACAGGGCTTCACTTGTAAACTGATCGATGCTGGAACGCAAATAGCAGACAAGGGAATGGGTGTGGTCTGGGGGTCCTCCCCCACAAAATTTTGAATAAAGTAGATGTGATTTCCTGCTTTTTGCTGTATTTTAATGTATTGTTGTAGTGAACCAGATGACCTCAAATCTACCAGATGGACAGAGACTGTTATTTTCATTGATCTGAATAAGTCTGGGCCATCTGATGAACTTTCTTTCTTGAATTAATCAAGCAGAAAAGACAATTCTTTATAATCATTACTGTCTTACAAATGTTTTGATAATCAAATTGTGTTAGTTCACTCAATGCTTTACAGGTTGAAAAGAACTACTAATTTTTATTTTACATAAACAGTAAGTAATGATTTTTGTTCCTCATTCAGAGAAGAAATCACCTGAATATGCCTTTCTTGATTTTCTGTCTGAAATGAGCAAGCTGTCGTAAGTATGTGAAAGGTTGGTCTTCGGTCAACTAAAATGTTTACTGAAGAAGAAATGTCATGTTTAAACTTTTTCAGAAGATTATCAAGAGTAGACTCCAAAAAGTCTGCTGCTTCTGCAATAATCTTTTCTGTATGTTAAACAAGTTTCATTCTCTGACCTCGACTGTTGATAAACACCTTACGTCAAAAACACTCCTCTTTCTGGTCCTTCCACGAATCAGAAAGCTCTAAACTGAACAGGAAGTCGACCCAAATAAAATGTGGCACTTCCCAGTTCAAGTCAGATTGAGAGTTCTGAGAGATGTTGGATTGGGAGCTGACAATAGGTCCGATAGTCTAACAGAATGAGAAGATTGAGAATGCAGTCGGTTCTGAAAGCTTCAGAGCAATGAAGAATCCAGAGGTTTTTGGGGATTATAATTCTGTTTTGAGCTAATCAACGCACGACTTTCTGAAGGTTTGGTAGCTCTCGACGGAGACGCTGAAACGAGTCAGAAAGGAACTACATCCAACGCTGATTCATCGTCAACAGGTAGATGGTTCTATTTTGACCAAGTGTACCGTGAGAAGCTGAGATCGGACGGAGCGTGCAACTTCTGGTTAAACAGATTAAATCTCCCTCACATATTCCTCTGTAAGATAAATCTCAATTTACTCTTAAACTCACCTCTCTCTCATAAAACAGTACAGATATTTTTAGAAATGTCTGAAGCAAAGTCCTCAAATCACCGCCGAGTGATTTGAAGTTCATTTTCTGTGAAACTGTCTGTTATTATTTTCATATTTTGCCAAATTAATGTAAATGTTTGATGTTAAACTTTGATTTTGAAAATAAATGATTCCATTCATTTGATGGGTCAAAGATAAATAACGTCTCTCGTTCACATTTCTGTTAAATTCAATGCACGGCATTTACAGTCAGAAAAATGAAGAACTCGTGAATATTGTATGCATATATAATTCATATATTGTGTCATACAACAAGTGACACGTACCTCATGTACATCACTACAACTGGTGGCCTCGTACGAATTTCATGAATGACTGTTTAATCCGTGTGTAAATTGATTTTACGTGTTGGCATGGTGAAAGAGTAACAGCTGATGAGCTGTGAATGTTACGCAGCGGCTGAGCTGCGCGCTTGGAGCTGCACTCTGCAACTAAACGCTGCATGTTTAAGCGTTGGGCTGGCAATGTTTTAAAAGCTGAAATTGTGTCATAAGTCTTGTGTAAGCTGAAATTGTACGTCTGTTACGTGTAACTAAAGGCTGATGAGCTGTGGAATACGTTATTCTGTTTAAGGTACGAGGTTCTGCTAAGACCCGGCTGTGGTTCGGTTCTGCTCAGTTGGAACGAGTATTTTGAATAGATGGATAAACGTTTTAAAAGCTGAGTGCCATCTCAGAACACAGTTAGAAGTTGTTTCGTTACATTTTTTAACAGAAAAAGTGCATTTTGATGGTTTAAAAGACGAAAAAGTGACGAATTATTTTAAGCTAATCTAACTTGCTAGGTAGAGAAAACGCTTCCTGATTGGTTGAATTCGCTGTTGTGGAGCGCTTTCATTGGTTGAAGGTTTGACTGACGTGGCTACGTCACTTCCTCTCACCCTACGCTGCGTGCCATTGGTGATTTCAGTCACGTGACCCGGATATGAAATTCATTTTCATAGGGAAATAAAATCTGCTTTTTTAAAGCTAAAAAACGCTTTTAAAGTGGTTTTGACACACTGGTTAGATGCTTCGAAGCCTGTTTGCTGAAATCCTGCCACGTTACAGTTTAAAATTCGTCAAAAAACGATGTTTTTAAACAAAGCTAGCGATGCTAATTTTAAGCTAACAAGCTAACGACCGGAGTTTTAACTACGCTTAAAATCACTAAAGGAAGCTACAAATATTGTTCCAGAAACTCATGTTCAGGCTAAAAAGTCGTGTTTGTTGAAATTGTGCCACTTTTGTGTAAAAAATCCGTTCAGAAATGTTGATTTTGACCGAGTTTAGCCGAAGCTAACTTCAAGCTAAGCGGCTAACAACAGGATGTCAACCGAACGCCACAGGAAGTTATAGCTCCCCTAGTGGATAACACAAACAGTGTCTGAGTTAAAATTAGTAAGGTAAGGCTGACATCTTCTGGCGAACCTTGAGAAGACAGGTTTCACTCGCTTATTAGGTCTAAATAGTGAAATTAAAAACGTTTTAATCTTTCTAAAAGCATTTTCGAGTCAATAAACGTTCCTTAAAGCTGAAAATTACTGTTATCTTGCATTTTAAAAGTTATAAGGTACTTATGCAAACGAGCATTCACCAAAAAGATTATTTCACTGTTAAATCCTTTAAAAATAAGGTACAAAAATAAACATTAACTTTTTAAAAAATAGAAACAGTTACAGATTTTCACAAAGTTGGAAAAAGTTTACTCATTTGCTAAAAGGATAGTGCACGTTTAATTAATAAATCACTAAATAAAAGTAAATATATCAGACGAAGAGACTTTGCTGATTTTATTTATTTTGAAAAACCTAAAACATTAAAATTCTCCTGTTTAAACTCTAAATAGAAGAAAAATGCCAAGCGACAATGAAGAAGACACCTCTCCAAAACCAACAAATGATGACATCATTTGGGGGCCTTACATACTTTAACAACTCCACTTATTGGCAGGAGAAAGGAGTACAGTTTTTCTGAAGAAAGACTGATTATTCCTCATCATCAATTTCTTTTCTCTTTTCACCCACCTGGGTTGATGAGTAACTTTTTAAAATAGCAAATTTCTGGAACAGAACGGTTTAAAAAACGTTTTAAACTAATATTGCTGTGAGACTAAAGGAAAATTTGCAGGTTTATAAAAAATTCAATGTTTTAGAGTAAATACACTAAAAACAGCTTGGTACTCTAGTATCTGTGGAAAATAAGCACAAAAAGTAACACTGCAAAAAGGGCATTTACTTAAATATTCATGAATTGGGGTAAAACCTGAGAAAGGTACCCACATTTGAATAAGTTGACTTATAACAGTACTTCTGTGTAAACCCAAAGCTAAAATAAGTGTGAAAACTCATTGACTTGAATACAAATATTTACCTGTAAAATATCTAAAGCTTGCAACTGTTCAAACAGATAAATTGCTACACAGTGAAAACATGACAGGTGTGTTAGAAAAAGATTTTGACCCAAAAGGAGTGGCGGACTGCCTGGAGAATGCGTTCGCACTACTGGCACCGTCCCTACATCCATATATGACTCAGACAGAGCGCATGAACCCAAAAGAGTTATTGGACAATCTGAAGGGGGTTGCAGAAAGTGTGACCTCTACAGAAATCATAAAGTCAAGTTATGAAAAGCTGGCTAAAATTGCAATTTTGTTGAAAGAATCATTCTATACGGTTGTTGAGAAAGCTGATTACCTTGCATTAAGGTTATACAGCGAAAAAGAGGTGGTTCAGAGAATTGAAGAACACTTCCTTCAATTTAAAGGTGAACACGAAATCCTCACAAAAAAACATTCTGAACAGATGTTTCAATTACAGCAAAATGCAAATGCAGAAATTGATTCGCTGAATAGCAAAATAAATGTGCTTAACAAAAAGCTGGAAGAACTCAGAATGGATAAACACATATTGCAACAGCTAATGATGCGTTTAGAAAGTGATTATCACACATCACAGGAACGCTTAAAAACATGTGAAGAAAATCTAAGAGCAGCAACAAACAAGATTTCTGACGTGGGGCGAGTTTGTCTGGAACTCAGAGAAGACCGTGGACAGAGTCCAGGTCACCCACAAACACCTCAGAAAGACGTTGTTGCACTTCCTGCTCTTAATCCACCCTCACATAAAGTGGTAGGAACAGACCTGAACAGGCCTCCTCCACCAAACATGCAACAGAGTGCATGGCAACTTCCTCTTTCAATGGATGCTCTGTTAAAACTCTCAAAATATGTACAACGTTTCATCCCTGAACCGTTGGGCTCCGCTGGAACGAAAGCGTACCTCAGAGATCTGGATTTCAG